AGCTCATCTTCCTCTTGACAATTCTCAGGATGAGAATCAGATGCTGAGACATAAAAGTGGGAGAAAGACCTCCCAGACAGGCCCCCATGATAGGCCACATGGCTTGAAGAGTCCAGCTTAGGAAGGCCAAAACCTCTTTACTGCCAGGAAGGGATGTGGGTATCATTAAACAGTATTTCCGTGCAACAAAGCCTTTCAGGAGCTGGCCAAATCATAGATGAGCCACAGCTGTAGCCTCAACTACAAAGCACTCTCCCCACACCTGGCCCCAACTTCTTCCTCCTCCAGTTGCAACTTCCCTACTGCTGGCCACTAGTGGCCCTGGTGGACTTTTCTCAGGGCCACTGAAGGTAAAGAGATTTAAGACAAGGCTTGTAAGGGTTGGTAGTTGGGTCTCATCTTTGCTTGGATGGGTTAATTAGAATAAAAGTGAGCCCGATTTCAAAGAGATTTAATTTTAAAAATCTGGATATATAGGGGAGGTTACTTAGGAGCTTATTCACATCAGAAGGTCTATTCCACTTTGTAACAAGATTGACCACAAGGCTGGGCAGGGAGTGGCTGTCCTCAGTCTGCACTGAAACACACAGCAGCACACATCCACAGGCATCAGGAACAGGTTTCTCCATTCACAATGTTCACTGTGAGTCACCCAGCTAGCATAGTGGAAAATGACACAGTCAGCATCTAAAATTTATAGAGATGTGAGCTGGGGGACAGATAGGAGGGACAGGGCCTCTGCCACTGGTTTGAAAGTGAGTTCATGGGAAAGGGGTGTCTTTGGGCTACAGCACCTATACAGTTCACTGTCTTGCTTTCACAGGTCTCCTCTAGTGTCTTTCCACTGTGGCAATAAAATTGGTCAAAAGGCACCCTTTGTGGAGAATGTGCTCAGGGAAATCAACCCCTCTTCCTACTGTCCTCTAGCTTTGCTTCTGGAAAGGTTATCAGTTTTGGTCTCAAGCAAGCCTGAGTTCAAATGCCAGCTCAGTTATTCACTAACTGGTTCGCCCTGAGTCTCCTAAACTCTGTAGGTTTCTGTTTTGTCAACTGTAAAAGGGAGATAATATGACATTTATGTAAAGTCCCACGGTAGCTAGCATACAGTAGGTACTCAAACGGTAGCCATCATTATTGCTCAGCCACTGAGTGTGTGTGCTGGGCAGTTCTGTGTGGAATAGGACTCCTGGATATTGCAGGATCTCATCTTGGAACATGGAGGAGTTTGGAAAGGAAAGTTTTAGGGGATGGGCCATTCCAAATGAAGCATTGTGTTTGAAAAGTAGTAAAAAGTATGAAAGATTATAAGAGAAGCAAAACTGCAATTTTCTACCATAGTCTAAGGGGAAAGTTCTGAGAAAATTATTGACAAGTGGAAATACTAGCCTGTTGTACTCTGATGTGCAAGAACACCTGTGAAATGATAACAAAGTAAGCAATCCTTTGTTTTACACTCACAATGGAAAGGCGTGAATCATAGAAATTATTAAAAGAATAATCATAATCATTAAAAAGGCAAGAAAAGGGACTTTTTAATCATTTAGTCCAACCTTTCATTTTGCAGATGGAGAAACTAAGGAAAAAGAATGCCATTACCCCTTCGCTGGTGACCTGCCTCTCTTGTCATTTGATGTGAAGTGTGGCTCTGAGGGTCTGAGAGAGAAGCCCAGGGACTTTTCTTCCTGAAGACACTAGCCTGGCTTGTGTTTGCTGCTCTGGAAGCTGACCTGCTTCTGAAGCCTTGCCTTTCTGGAAGGTGCTTCAATGCACTTTGAGTGCATTAACAGGGTGAGGATTTTCAATCAACCCTTTCTCTTTCGTGGTATTAGTGCTACTGGTTGACTTGTTAAATGGAAAATACCTGGACTGTGTCATTTCCTCCCTGCACATGCTTATGCTGTTCTTGAATTCCAAGGTCTTTTTCCATCTCATGGGATGCAAAATATTAGCAGAAAACTGAGATTCTGTTTTTCCCATAAATTAATTAACAGTCTAGCCAGGTTTGAGTTTCCTGATCTTAGAAATAATGTTGTCTTTTTTTGTTGTTGTTGTTATGTTGGCAAGACACATTACACAAATTTATCTGTAATCCAATAAAATATCCCATCCTGCTTTTCTGATATAACTGACAATAAAAACACTTCTTGAATGCTCACATTCTAGTTGGGATAATATACTTGAAAGGTTAATTAGCAAATCAAGGCCATATGTGATTAAATGCTCTAGCAACTCAGAGGCAAAGATGGGTGACATTAATGTGATCATAGAAGGCTTCGGTGGAGAAGCTAAGATTTGAGCTGAGACTGGAAGGATGAGTAATATTATTACTGTGAGCCACTGAAGGGCAGGAACCATGACTTATCATCTTTGAAAGTTTCTAAAGAGACCATGTTTCTGCAGTGTCTAACCCAGTACTCTGCAATAAATGTGTGCTGGATTGAATTTATTGATAGCTAGAGATAATAGAAGCAAGGATGGCAAGACTTTGTCTTGATTACTTTGGATATGTCATCAGGAAAGATCAGTCACTAGAAATGGACATCATGCTGGGTAAAGTAAAAAAAAAAAAACAAAACAAAACCCATTGCTGTCAAGTTGATTCTGACTCATAGTGACCCTACCGGACTGAGTACAACTGCCCCATAGAGTTTCCAAGGAGCACCTGGTGGATTTGAACTGCTGACCTTTAGGTTAGCAGCCACAGCACTTAACCACTATGCCACCAGGGTTCCCAGGTAAAGGGTCAGCAAAAATGAGGGAAACCATCAATAAGATGGATTGAAACAATAGCTACAACAATAGTCTAAACATAGCAATTACAAAGGTGGTGCAGGACTGGGCAACGAATCCTTCTGTTATACATAAGATCGCAATGACTTGGAGCCGACTGATGGCAACTAACAGCAAAGGTAATAGTGGAGAGCTTTCTAGGCTGGGTAACAACACGAACAAACCCACTGTGTAGAGAGAAATAAGCCTTCTGTGTTAGGAAACCACAAGAACAGTCAGGCTGCAGGAAGACTTTCTGTTAAGTAGTGAGAATAACAATGGCCAAAGGTAAAAGGGTTATGCTTTACCCTATGGCAATGATGGGAAACCCTGGTGGCATAGTAGTTAAGAGTTCAGCTGCTAACCAAAAGGTCTGCAGTTCAAGTCCACCAGGCGCTCCTTGCAAACCCTATGGGGCAGTTCTTCTCAGTCCTATGTGTTGCTATGAGTCAGAATCAACTCGACGGCGACGGGTTTTGATGGCAATAAGGTGTCACAGAAAATTTTTCATCTAGAAAGTAAACAGTATATTAAAACACACACACACACAGAACTAATAGACAGGAAGGATAGGAGGGTGAAAATGGGAGGCAGTTTAGCCTGCGGTTAAGCCCAAAAGCTTAGATTTGGACATTCTGGGTTCAAATCCCAGTTCTGCCATTTTCCTGGCTGGTGATCCTCAGATTAACTTCTCTAAGCGTCAGTTTTCTTATATATGAAATAGAAATGATAATAGTACCTATTTCACGGGATTGCTATAAGAATTAAATGAGATAATTCATGCAAGGTGCTTAGTTAGCATAATGCCTACCATGTAGTCAGCTCTCAATTAAGTGACAGCTAAAAGAAAGGCACCAGAAGCAAGAAGTACCATTTTCCAACTCACTAGAATGTTTCACTAGTCCCCTTTTGAAGCAGGCTACATAGTCAATATTGTATAGTTGTTAAATTAAATTATATCCGTATTCTTTTAGACTGGCCAGCTATAACTCTTTCATACTCAAGACATGCAATGTGTTAGGCAGCTAAAATTGTATATTCAATTCTAGCACCATCTTGCCCCATCCTCACTGCCCCAACCAGGACTGAAATGAAAAGAACTAAAAAACTTTCTAGAAAGTTTTTCTGAAAAACCTTTGCTAGTCTCTGATGAGCCTCTACACAGTGATATTATGTTCTAGATCACCAGTTCCCAAACTTGGGTGGGCAGGAGCACATAGTTACTACAAAAAAAAAAAAAAGAACAAACTCATTGCCACCGAGTTGATTCCGACTCATGGCGACCCTACAGGACAGAGAAGAACTGTCCCATAGGGTTTCCAAGGAGCGGCTGGTGAATTTGAACTGCTGACCTTTTGGTTAGCAGCTGAGCTCTTAAGTACTGCACCACCAGGCCTCCTAGTTATTGCAGGAGGCCTACAATTCAATATTGTCCATAAATGAAAAATTAAATAGTATGTCGTGTGTATATGCCTATATTTTTTCAAATTCTGTCCTGATTAATAGATTACAAATTTATCGTCAAATGTTACTGATTTAAAACAACGTTTGGTATTATGTATTTCCTCAATCCACAGATGCTGAATATACCACTACTACCATGTGAGGATTTTTAGTATCTTTTGACGTTATAAAGCTGACTGCCTGAGTTAGTCATCAGGAAAAAGCATAGGAGTGACAAGAAAAAAAAAATTACAGACCACCTGTCTTTAGATGATATGGAGCTGTGTGCCAGGGTCCAAAATAAATGCCCTAGAAATATTCCAGCAATCAAAGCTGTTAAAATAAGCAGAACCATTGCCGTCAAGTCAATTCTGATTCATAGTGACCCTATAGGACAGAGTAGAACTATCCTGTAGGGTTTCCAAGACCGTAAATCTTGATGGAAGCAGACTGCCACATCTTTCTCCCATGGACAGCTGCTGACTTTGAACTGCCGACCTTGCTGTTAGCAGCCAAGTGCTTAACCACTGTACCACCAGAGCTCCTTAAAATAAGCAGAAGGGTGTCAGAAATGGTCTTTTCCCTTGACGTCAAGACTCTGGAAGAAATTTTCAACAGCAAGAAATAGAAGTTGGCTCTCCCTCCCCTGTCCCCCAAAACAGACGTCAGTACACAAAAGGATAAAATCTCTGAATGCTCAGAATATTTATCCAGAGAAGAAGCACTCAAGAAAAATATCAGAATGTGAACATGATTAAACATTCATGGTGCTTCCACGTAGCGCTTACCTGTCCTGCCATTCAGGAGAATTGGTTTGCCCTCCAGTTCTCCTCTCATGGGGACAACGGTGATCTTATACTCAGTCCCAGGATGCAGACCTGAAAACACACAGCCGGAGCAGAATGTGAGTACAGGTTCCGGACCCCCATGCCAGCACTTCTCTCTCCCCTGGTTTCTCCTGTGACGGGAAGAAGAGGGCCTACAGTTCTCACCCAGAGACTATCCTCCACCTAAAGGTGGATAGAGAGCTGCAGGACCAGTGGAATAGAAGGCATCATCAAGGGGGCTTATGGGCCAGGAGCAGAGGGTCAAGATGATGAGATAAAGTTGATCGAGCTCCCATTGGTTTTCTGGGGCACCTAGCACTTATTTCCCAATTTTATTTACAGCCCCAAATGTTTTTCTGCTCCCAGTAATCCTTTTCCCTCAAAAGTTTCTTCCCTCCTCATTGTAATAACTGGTCTAGGTTTTTTTTTAGTTATTTCCCTGTAGAAGCAACTTGACCGGTTGTGCCTCTTGACATACACATTCAGACTCCATTAGCTAAATTCAGGCAAAGGGCCATGTGTGTGCAGCACACACTTATCCTCCATCATCACCCCCACTCCACAAACGTGGGGAACCCCAAAGAGTCCTCTCAAGACTGAACTCAGCACAACAAAGCCCAGAGGAGGATTTACCACAAAGCATACAAGCCTCAGGGCTCCTCACTTGCCCAGGCCCCTTCAAAGGGCTTGTACCTAATTTGGTATTCATACTTGTGTATTACTTTTCTCAAAAAAGGCCATGAAAATTGTATAAGCTTCAGCCATCACAAAACTTGATCCACCCCTGCATGGCCCTGTTTCCTTAGCAGCCATCTGATTTCCAGCTCTCCACAGCATTAGCCCAGTCATCTGGGACCAGGACCCTCCTCACCCCAAGACCCCTAAAAGAACTAATTGCAGTGCATGCTGCTGAACAAACCAGTCTCTCTTCTTCTCTCTCCCTCCTCCCTCCTCCCTCTCTCTCTCTCTCACACACACACACACACACACACACACAGACACAAGTTCTTCTAAAAGGAATTTCTGTATGCCATGAAATCCAATGTGAGACACAGACACGGTCCTTAAGAGGGTTAGCTAACCTGGAGAACGTGTCAGATATGTGTAATCTTTTACCAAGGGTGATCTGAGATTCCAGAGTCAGCTCTGGGATGTGGAAGCAGAGTCTACAACTCCAGAGTGGGTTCGTGTCTGAGAGTTTCAGGAGTGAAGGCTTAGGTTTGATTCCTAAGGACCCAGTACCCTCGGTGACACACTTGAACAGTGGGGATGCCTGTCCCCTCTGCGTGCACAGTCCCTGCCTCAGCATCTGCAGTGAATACCTCATACCCCCAGTGTTGGGCTCTTACCTGTGATGTCATATCGGCTCTTGGGGTCATTGCTCTTGGGCACAGTGACCTCAGCCACCTCCTGTCCTGTCAGGGGGCCGTACCGCAGTTTGTAGTAATCAACCTTAGTTGGGGGGTTCTCCCACTCCACATCCAGGGAGTTCTCCGTCTCGTCGGTCACCCAGGCAGTGCCAGCCACAGCAAGGTCTAGGGTAGGGGTTAGGGAAGCAAGAGAAAGGAGTTAAGAACAGAGGTTCTGCTGGACGGTCGGCTACCAAGTCAGCTCCCCTTCTGGACACATTGAAAATCGGCTTCACCTCAAGCCACAGTCCTCAACATGTGCATTACAGCTACCAAAGTAGCAAATAATCTGCTGTTTTTCAAACTGTCCCTTGAGGACAAGCTCTCTTCCTGGAAAACCTCCGCTCCCCCATCCCATCCCATCCGATGCCATGAGCACCCCCGTCACGCTGACATGGGCCATGCACTGAACCGCCCCTCTCAGTCCAGCCATCTAAGCCACTTAGCCCAGACTGCACCAAACTGAACATTTCACCCTTTCACTACAGAGTCCTGCCCTCACAGGCGCAGCCCCAGGATGAGAAGTTCAGGCCCTGCCACGTAAAGTCTGGCAACTGTATTGCACATTTTCTAGAGTATAACTTGGTAATACAGCCAGCTACTTCCTAAGTCTCCCAAAATAAAGCCTTCGCCTCTCAAATTCTCCTGTAAGGATTAACCTCAGGCAAAGCTAGAAAGTAGGTGAATTTTAATTTGGTGCTTCTGAATATCCTTCCTGCATCTTCTACCAAATTTTAGCATTTCCACCAGCTACTTGGTGTTCTCACACTGCCCAACTTATCCTTCCAGTGAAGAAGGAGAGTTATTGCGGACATTTATTCATAGTAAAGTATTAATGGAGAAATGTTTCGCTCCTCCCTAGAGTTTTCCACTCCAAAAAAAAAAACAAAACCGAAATTATAATGATTAATATAAAGAAATGAACTCTGTATTGAGGCAAGAAGATTTGCAAGGGAGAGGGAGGACTACGTCCTTTATGGAGCCCTTTAATTCCAATAGCCACGTCCAGGTCCTTGAAGTTTGGTACAGGGAAGACAAGTCCCCCAGATTCTCAGCCTTCCTCCCTTTCTGGGTCACAGCCCTACCTTCCCCTCCATGGAAGTGGTCCTACCCAGGCTGACTGACCACTTGTCAAGGATGTGGCTCAGAGAATTTGTGCATCAGGCAGGGGGTGAACTCAGGGATCTCAAGATCCATCCCTCCAGCTTCCAGAGCCTCTGATTCACTTCGTGTGGATAAGGTACTTCATGGAGCCTTTTCTCTGAAGCATTTCCTCCCACCAGGTGGCTTCCACCTGCTAGCCTTAGGTCCCGTTTTTAGAATCCTTGTGAAGATAAGAATTCCTTGAGGAACTCAAAACAGGTCAAGAAAAGAGTGATGAAAGTGACTCAAGGATTGTAGAAGGGGCTCTACATGGCTTAATGAGAAAATGGGGGGATTTTCCAAATGGAAAAGCAGGGAGTTACCGAAAATGTTCAGATTATTATGGAGATAAATGTTTCTCAGTTTGAGGGTCCCCTGAGGAGCAAATAAGAATGGGTTTAACTTGAATCAGATTAGACAGGAAGGCAATCTTCACAGCTGTAGGAATTTACAAGCCCCTGGATCAAGAAACCAAGAGGGGTTGCTGAGAGTTTCAGAACACATGCCATCATTCCCTGGGGCGCGTTGAGCACTGTCCTGTCTGCAGCAATAGATAAAAAGGTGAAAAAGAGAAAAGCAGCCCGACATCTGGGAGCTGGCCTGGCGCTCACAGCTAGGCCTTGGTGTTTTTCTGTTGAATAGAAACAATTTCACAGAACATCAGCATTAGACAAGGCTACTCTGCGACTACGCTGGAGCAAGATAAAAATAAGACCACTCTGTAATCATGTGTGAACCCAGAAAAGAAACACGAACATTGTCCAAACCACAAAAATGACTAAACATCCCCATCCTGACTAACAGGAGTGGCTGCTACTTCTTCCCGACTACAGCTTTAGCCTTGCTCTAGTCTTCCCTCTTTCTAGGTAAGATTCCTTAAGATGTTGTTAATTGCTGTCGAATCTACTCCAACTCATGGCGACCCCAGATGTGTCAGAGTAGACCTGCTCCACAGGGTTTTCAAGGCTGTGACCTTTCAGAAGTAGGTTGTCAGGCCTGTCTTCTGAGGCACCTCTGGGAGCATTTGAACCGCCAACCTTTCAGCTAGTAGTCGAGCGCTTAACCATTTGTGCCACCTCTTAAGATAGCCAAGCATAAAATTACCCTCACTTCCCCTTGCATGGAACCCAAAGAAAATCTCTGCTTCCTTATAACCCTCCCCGAAATTATCTAATACAAGCCCAAATTCTGTAACAAATCCTTTCTAACACTCTCTTACTAAGACACTACATCTTTCTCCATGGTGTGCATTCTCCCTTGCTGCAACAAGCAATAAGCCCAACTTGTTCAACTATGGGGTGTTCCCGGTGGTCTTTGGCTGAAGGACATTGACAAAGGCAATCACAGACTGTGACCCCAGGATGCCAAGTCCCTCACAGTCCTTTCCAACACTGACCCACCGTTACTCCACGCTACCTCCACCACCAACACAGACAGGCAGCCTGATGTTTCTGAGTGCCAAAGGCCCTGTCTCTGGGTATTTCTGCATCTTTCTCCATGAGTTTAGGGAAGAATGGAGGCAGCTCATTTCTACAAGCACTAGAACAGTACCTGACACATGGTAGGTGCTCAATAAAAATGTGTTGAGTGAAGGAATGAATTGGAGTCACAAAAACGGCTAAGTTTCTCCAAACCCTTGAAGAGCTAAGCTGCTTTAAGAACTTCCATGATGAAACAAGGATTTCTAAAAAGTAAGCAGTGATGCTTAGCCTTCCAAATACTTTGGTGCCACACTGGATACTCTGCTTGCCCCTCCAGATTCAGCCTCCACCATTTTCCATCCTGCTCTGTATCCTAGGTGATGACCTCCATAAACTACATCAGCTTGGTTCCCTTTCCCTCTAACTTCTGGATAGGTTCAGCCAGTAGGAGTCATCAGCACATCAGAGGGCAGGAGGAAACAGCAGTCAGGCAACTGATCCCCTCACTCCCTCCCTGCTGGGGCCTGGTGGACTCCTGCATCCTTCTACCAAAAGCACCCCATCAGACAGCTCTCTTCTACAGCTCTCTCTGGGTACCATTCCTTGCCCCTTCAGGGTGGGGTGGCTCCCTACTGATGCTAGTCCAACCTCTACCCACACCTTTATAAATCGCCTTTTAACTAAATTATCTTCATTACCTGGTTTGTGCTGTTTCCTGCTGGGATGAATCTGACCGATACAGGTGGCTTCAGCATAACCCCTGTTCCAACCTCCACTCCCTGTAATCCCAACCTGCTGAATGGTGTCAGAGGCTCAGTGAGGGTCTGGGGACACAGGTGTATCCCTTGATTGCTTGTCTTGGGTGCAAGGCAATCAGACCTTACTAATCTCAGGGACAGAGAGGACCTTTTGAGTCCCAATCCAGCAGGCTGCCATCACTGGCTGGGAGGACCCAATGAGCAGGTAGAGGGGACAGAGCACTGGGACTCTTCTCTGGAACTAGGATTGTAGCAGCCATGTTTTTCAAATCCCAAATCAGGTCAATGGCCTGACTAGTACAAGTGCATTTGTGGGCACAATGGGAGAAAACGTTTGAAATGGGGCCTCTCCAGGGCCACGTGGGCAGCTGGCTGCGTCCTCACCTGTGGTGGCGAGTAGATGCTGTGGGCTGCTGGAAACCTCCTTCTTCACATTGTGCAGGGTGACTATGTACTTGGTTCCAGGCAGCAAACCGTGCATCTCATAGCTGTTCTGCTCCTTGGGCACTTGGATCTTCTTCACAGGAAGTTCCTTCCCCATGGGGTAGTAGCTGAGGAGGTAGTGATCCACATCCCCAGAGGGCTCCCAGCTCACTAGCAGGGATTCCTCAGTGCTCCTGAGCAGCTGCAGGCCCTGGGGGGAGACCACTGGAGGAACAAGCGGGGGAGGGAATAAGGGAGTGAAGAAGGTGGGCAACGAGGGGAGGGAATTCATAGCCAATGAGTATATACTGAACACCTACTAGTCCCAGGGTGGTGCAAATGGTTAGGCTGCTAACCAAAAGGTTGGCAGTTAGAGTCCACCCCAGGTGCCTCAAAAGAAAGTGCTGGTGATCTACTTCCAAAAAGTCAGCCATTGAAAATCCCATGGAGCGCAGATCTACTCTGACACACATGGAGTCACCATGAGTCAGAACCCGCTCTATGGCAACTGGTTTACTATATATGTAACACTACCGGGGTGGCTGTGGAGAATGCAGGCAGAACCCGTAGGAGGCCCATTTTTTAATCCCTCCCCCCACCAGAATTTATTAGTTGTCTGATTGGGAGGCAGTACTGACCCACCCACACACAGCCATTAGATCACATAAGACCAACGGTTCTCAAAATTCTGGCCCCAGATCAACATCACTTGTTAGAAACGCAAATTCTCAGGCTCCACCCCAGATCTGCTGAATCAGAAACTCTGGGATGGGGCCCAGCAATCTGTGTTTTAACAAGCCAGCGGATTCAGAAGTAGGCAGGTTGCGATCCTGCCTAAGACAGTGTATAAATGATGGAGCCCAGGGGTGCAGGGAGAGATGAGAGTCAGGTGGGCCATGGCGCATCTCTGCTCTCACCCTGGGCACAGTCGAGGCCTGTGAAGCCCTCCTCGCAGTAACACTCTCCCGCGTCGCAAAAGCCGTGGCCGCTGCAGTCGCCGGGACACCGCCGCTCGCTGCAGTCCTCCGAGATGAAGTCCTCGCGGCACTGGCAAACGCCCCGCACGCACACGCCGTGTCCGCTGCAGTTCTCGGGGCAGGTGGGGTAGCCGCAGTCGGCCCCAACGTAGGGATCATCGCAGAGGCAGCGCCCGTCCACGCATCGCCCGTGGCCGCTGCAGGCCCCGGGGCAGGCGGGCCGCTCGCACTCGGCGCCCTCCCAGCCTTGCTCACAGCGGCAGCTGCAGGTCGCCAGGGAGAAGGTCCCGTGGCCGCTGCAGTGGCGGCTCAGATCTGGGGAGGGGGAGGAAAGACAGTAGGCTGAGGATTGAGGGGTCTTGGGCGGGGACCTCCTTCCCTGGAGACCGGAAGAGCAGTCTAGTGATTTCTGGGGCGCTGTACAGTTCTTTCTTTGGGGCAGAGTGGGGCTCTGGAAGGGAGATAGGGGGGTCTGCCCTTTCCAACCTGGGTCAGATGCTGTGATCTGTGATATTTGCAAACTTTTCCTCCTGTCTGTGCATGAAAAGCTGCCTGAACCAACCTTCTTCCCTTTCCCTTCTCATCCCAGGGGCTCACGGGAATTCTAGTTCCTTCTCCTCTGAGTGGTGGTATCTATTTAGTATCTTTCTATGAAGGGGCCTTAAATGCCCCAGCCTGGATTCCAGCTGTCAGCTTACACTAAGGGATGGGCTTCTTATCCCTTTGGGAGGCAAGTGGGATCAGGGCTGGGCTGGAGTTTGTGCTTCTCCTGGCTGGATGGGGCTGGATCAAGCAAGGCTGGGTCCTGTGAAATGAGCCCAAATTGAAGCCCAAGAAAGTGGTTTCAGATGAAACTGTAAAGGCTACAAAATAGCCAGCCCAATCTCAGTAAAGGGATATTGGGGAGCGGATTAACCTAGCTCCCCGTCTCTGACCCTATACAGCAAGAGCAGTTGGAGTCAGTCAGCCCTCTTCTCGGTCCCAGTTCCTGCTTTGCAGGATTATATACCTAGGATCTGTCTTTCCATCACAGCTGCTTCTCACCACGGGGATGAACCTAGGCATGACTAGGGCATAGTCACGAGGAAAGGAACGGGCTTACTAGCGTTTTCAGACTCCCTGGTACAAACGCTTATGAGTCTGGAGTCGGGTATGAGGCATCTCCACAGACCCGTTTCTAGATGGCTGCTGCTCTGAAAGCTCGAATGAGAAGCCCCCTCATGGCTCAGGTGCCTGTGAGTGAATGTGAGCAGCAAACTAGGTCTTCCGCGGTCTGCTCTGCCTTCGCAAAGAATGAGCCATCCCGCATGGGGGTTGGGGACATTAGGGAAATTGGCTGGGGAGAGGGGTCATTCTGCCCACTACAGTGGTGAAGGCCCATGTCACCTCCTGGTGACAGAGGAGGCAAAATTTAATGGCTTGCCCGGGCTGGGCTGCCTGCCTGTAAAATGGCCTCTAGGGGCTTTCTCATTTGGAAGCTTTAACCTAGGAGTCTAAACTCACTTCAAGAGCTTATCTCTCCCTGCTTAGGCTTCCAGATGCCTCCTGGAAATTGTGCCAATGAATAAATGAACAAATAGCAAGGACATAGCTCCCCAGAGAAAACCCAGAGTGAGAGGTGGGAACTCTCAGAGTGCCCATGCAGACAGTGGAACACCTGGTGCTCATGAAAAGTTTGTTGAATGAATACTAGGTGGCAAGCTCACCAGCAGCGCCTTGGCAGCAGTGCTGGACACTACACTGCACCTTCATCTCCACCATCTCTTCCTCCAGCTTCTTCACTCGGGCCACTAGGTCCTGGACACTGCATGCCAGCTCGCAGTCCTTCTGTGGCATCTGAAGGCGGATGTTGTGCCTGAAGATGATGTTCTGTTCCTCTCCGGCCTCCTCTGGAGCCAGAAGCGAGGCCCCATCATCCCCGAGGGGCTGAGGTTCAGCCTGCACTTGGACCAGGGCAGACTTGGGCACGTCAATCTTGTAGGTGTGGCTGACAGTGACCTGTTGCTCCTTGTTGCTGCAGCCCTGGGACTCAGGAGTGGCCGGGGCTGAGGCTGCCAGGAGTACGGAGCCAAGTAGGAGCCCCAGGGGGAAGCAGATCATAACCTGGAGACCCATCCTTGGAGAGATGGGGAGCAGACCCTCCAGGAGACCTGTGTCCAGAGAAAATGCAAAAGAAGGCCATGGAGGTTTGTTGAGGGAAATTGGCCTTTGTAATGGACTCCAAGAGTCCACAAGAAGCTGAGAAATCAGCAGAAAGAGCTCATCCTCTATCTCCTGAGGACCTGAGCCAAATTATTTTCTGTTCCTTACTCCCACATTGTACATTCCTGTGTCCTGTCTTTGCTTACACCATTCACAGTACCTGGGGTGGTCTTCTCTTCACTTATAGTTCTATACTCACCTACACTTTAATAATAAGAACTACTACCTTGTATGGAGGGCCTACTGTGTGCCAGGCTTTGATCCCACTAATCCCTAGTCTTTTCAACAACCCTAATATCATCCTTCCTATTAATAATAATAATAACTGTACATAGAGCACTTGCTGTGTGTCAAGCATTAATCTAAATGTTTCACATAGATTAAGTCATTCAATCCTCATGACTGGGATTACCCCCATTTTACAGACAGGGAAGTTGAGGCACAGCTACCTTAAATGACTTGCCCACAGGCACACAACAAAGAGTGGCAGGATTTGAACCCAGGCAGTCTGACCTCAGAGTCCATGCTCATCACCACTTTGCTACCGTGCTTCACACAGATGAGGAAGCTGAGCTTGGAGAGGTTGAGCAAGTTGGCCTGGGTAACGTGGCCAGTAAGGGCAGAGCCTATACTCAGAGCCAGGTCCACTGACTCCAGGGCCAGTGTCCTTCTCACGACCCCTGCTTTCCAGCCAGCAAAATATAAGAACTTCTAATAAAAATCCTTCTCCATAAAGTCTTCTTTCATGCCCCCTCAAGCCCTGGAAATGAGATGTCTTCTGCTAAGCAGTCAGAGAAGTGTATTGGTCCCTCTCTGGTGGTTTCTTGATGGTTTAGTTGTGTTACATATCACTTTGCATGCATCTAGGCTAGAAGTCTCTTAAGGACAGGACCCAAGGCTGGTTCATCTTGGAGGCCTCCCAAGGCTGGGGCACAGAGTCACACCCACCCACCGACAGATCCTAGGTATATAACCCTGCAAAGGCTATTTATTCTGAGCTTCAGTTTCCTCATCTGTAAGGGGGAGTAATAATGCCTGCTTCACTGTATCATATGTGAAAAGCACTTAGCACCATGCCTAGCACATAATACCAGTTGCCATCAAGGCAAATCCAGCTCATGGAGAACCCATGCGTGTCAGAATAGAACTATACTCCATAGGGTTTTCGACGGCTGATTTTTTTGGAAGTTGACTGCCAGGCCTTTCTTCTGAGGTGCCTCTGGATGGACTTGAACCCCCAACCTTTCAGTTAGCAGCCTATGGTGTTAACCATTTGCATCACCCAGAGACTCCAGGACATAATAAGTGTTCAATAAATGTTTTAAGGTTTGTTTGGTTTTTAATCAACTACTGAGTGTGACTTCCTTTTCTTTCTACTCTGTTTTTATTGCGAAGGATGATGCCTGAATTGAAAAGAACATAGAACATACATTGTAACAGCTTAATAAATTATTGTAAATGCAACTGCCATGTAGCCACCACCCAAGTTAAGCAGAACATATGCTAGCATCCTAGAATCCCCCCACATGCCCACACCTGATGCTGCCTCTTTTCCAACTCAGTAGTTGGGATCAGCCAGATCACGAACTGGCCGAGACAGACAACTACATTGGTCAGAAAGGGACTAAAACTTCACAGTCTTTCAACCAAATTCTAATACCGTGTAAATGGTTTAACTTTTAACAGACATTCTTTTAAGTATTAGGAAGTGGAAGAAATGGAGGACGAAGGTCCCTGGCAGAATTATTATTAAAAATAACAATAAGAAATGATGCACTTGAACTGTAGTGTTGTCAAAGACTGTTGACTATACTGTGGACCTCCAGAGAAATGAACAAATCAGTCTTAGAAGAAATACAACAAGAATTTTCCTTAGAAGTGAGGACAGTGAGACTTCAGCATGCTTACTTTGGACATGTCATCCGGAAAGACCAATTGCTAGAAAAGGGCACAGCTGATGAAGTGAAGGGTCGGCGAAGGTCAGAGAGGCCCTTGGCGACGTGGATTGACACCGTGGCTGAAACAATGGACTTCAACATAGCAACAATGATGAAGGTGGTGCAGCACCAGGCACCGATTCATTCTGTTCCCTTGTATAGAAGGTCCCCATGAGTCGGAGCCCACTCTGTGACAACCAACAACAACAACATCAGGGGTTTGTTCATTTGCCGAGCTGCTGCTACGTGCCAGGCGCCGGCCAGGAGCATCCATCCTCGGGATTAATCCTCAGGATTGCTATGTAAAGTCAGTGCTACCTTATTCAATGGGTGAGGAAACCAGACCTGAGAGGACAAGTCCCCTCCGGGGGCTACCCAACGAGTAAGTGGCAGAGCTGGGATTGGAACCCCGGTTGTCTTATTGTGAGCCTGTGCTTGCTGTACAGCGATATGACATCCTGATACAAATAACAGGCTAGTCTGGTAAATATCTGCCCCTCTGCAATGCCCTCGTGTGGGCAGGTGGCCTGTATGTTGTACCCAAGGGATTTGCCATCCCTGTGAACTCATCAGAGCAGCACAACGGAGAGTTCTGCTTTATGTTCTCCTTTGACCCACTCATTCCTTCTCGGCTTGGCCTATTATCCAAAACATGTTTTACTGATAATAAGAAGAATAATAGCAGCTCAGCTTTTCTGAGCGCTTAGTACATCCCAGGCACTAGACTCAACACTCTGCAGGTGGAATGGAATGGTCAGTGGAACATTTCTTGTTGTCTTAGGATTTGGACAGGGGGTAATTGCTGTCCATACATTTTAAAGAGAGATACTGTATCTGGAGATTTTGTTTGTTTGTTTGTTTATTGGGAGTGGGAGGAGGCAGCAATGAGACCAGGGCCTGCCTCTGGTCTGGAGGAATTCAGAGGTGAGAGTTTGGCTGGAACAGGTCACATGGCAGAGTGAAAGGAGTCACAGCAGAAAAGGCCTGCACTCCAGAGTTTAGTGAGACAAGGACACATACATTGTCCCTTAGACCAAGTCAATGCCATAGAAGCAAGCCAGGTTAGAGTATCCCAGAGGGCAGCTGGAGGCCGGAGCTGAGGTGAAGCCCCAGAGCTCAGCAGGAGTGCACTGGTCCAGTGGGCCAACTATAGGAGGAGGTGCCATCAAGTAAAATGGGAACTCTCTGAGAACCAAAAGAGGGGGGCTGGGTACGGGGCATCTGCCATAACAAGGCCATTTCATAACCAGAGAGAACTACAATAGCTCCAGATAAATAAAGATACCTTTCCCTAAATGGAATCATGTCCAGTCACCTCCATGCACAACTGCCTCCTTTGCCATGAGACCAGAAGAACTGGATGGTGCCCGGCTACCATTGCAGAGCATTTAGATCAAGGATTCTATATAAAAATCCTGATCAAAAGCTCTAGGATCTGCTTCAGACTTTGTCTGGGGGATGGGGGAGAGGTAGGAAGAGTGAGTTGGAAGGCAAATATAAGATAAAAATAATGGTATTTCCTGATTGCTGTCTTAAAAATTCAGGCCATCATAAAATGATCTCACACATATTCTCCATTTAATCCCCAAGATGGGATCTGAGGTTTAAAGGCATCAAGCAATTTGCCCCGAGATTATGCAACTAATGAGTGTGAGGCCACAGATTGAAACTCAGGTGCAGAGTCTCCAAAACCTGAGCCGTTAACCCCATGCTCTTCTGCCCTTCACAGTAGCAACACATACTGATTTCAAAAGGGCCTACTACATACATGGCAGCACACACGGTCCCACTGTCCAAAATCCCCTTTCTGGGCAACAACAGAGCTAAAAAAGCAGACTTCTCTACCCACTCCCTGCCATCCAGCCCCATCTCCCAGCCCTAGGCTCATTATTCTCCGAGATATAAATGGAGTGCAGATGGTTTTCTGGAGAAGTTCTGAATTCATGCAAAAAAGCCACAGACTCTTGCCATAAACCACAGCAAGGCTGCCCAGAGTCCAATCTCACCCTGTTTGTTTTTGAAGCCTGGAAATGAAAAACCCCAGAAGCCTAGCATGAGCTCTCAATGTCGCCTGTCCTTCTGAGTTGTAACAAGATGCCCTTGCTAAATACAGCTTCTTCGATTCCACACATTGATGTCAAATTTTCCTGGGCAGGGTGATTACGCGAAAGAAGATGAGAGGGCTGAAACCCTCCACCTAGCCCTTCTGTCGAGTGTAATGAGCAAGAAGAGAAGCCTTCTGGCTCTCTCTCCACCGCGTGGCAGGAGAAACCCTCTTCCCTGTTTAATAGCCTCGGGAAGGGATAACTTCACCAACTCTTCTAGTAGGAGCAACAAACCACAGACAGAGTTTTACAAGGGAGGGGAGGTGGGGAATAGGAAGCTGGGCACCGAACTTCACCAAGAAAACTGCAGGATAATGAGTTTCCAAATGGTAATGATTATTGTATTGAGGAATAGTTTTCCATGGAAAGTGGGGTAAATGCTGCAAGAATGTGTAAGGCAATGCGGGTATACACTCATGGAATACGCATGCCTGATACCCAGAAGCAAACTAGGTGTCCCCAAGAACCTCTGTCTCATTGATGCTGATGGTGTCTTTAATTCTAAGTGTGTGGGGGGTGGGTGCTGGGTGGTGTGGGAAGTGGAAGGTGAGGCCCATTAAGACTCAGGACAAATGCTGCCTTGTTTTGCTTTTTTGTGAATTAAATATTAGCCCCTGGCTTTCTTTGTGTGTGTGTGTTTATTAAATGTTGGGTACTGTGCTAAACATTTAATAAATATTATTCTCATTTAATCCTCAAAATCCTGGGAGTCAATATCATTCTTTTTTAAGGGTGCTTAGAGATGTTAAGTGATTTGCCCCAGGACACACAGCTATAAGTGGCAGAGCTGGGATCAAACACCAGGTTGGTCTGCTCCCTGCCTCTGTATTCCTCATCCTTCTGCTATATGAAAAAAGATTAGAAGATGAGA